TTGGACCGAGACACTTTAGGCCTAGGAGAGGCCCCCTTTTTAACAACAGATGATGCAAAAGTCACTTTTGCCTTTGTCACTTCCTGACTTTTTAATTAAAAAAATAAAAGGTCACATGTACTCCAAAAACATGGTATACAATGCCCCTGTAGGGAATTTGGGAGCATTGTAAAGATGTTTTAAATCCCTTGAGGGACTGGGGGGCACAAATATGACCACTTTGCTCAACCTTGGTTTATACCTTGTAAGCACAATGTAGTATCTCATACTACATGTTGTTATTGTTGCATGTTTAGCAGCAATGAAAGAAGTAGTATTTGTAGATTCCCGACCCCACCCCTCGTCGTGCCAAAATGGCTTGATTAGCTTTGGGTACTAAGAACCTTGGAGTACATTTTTCTGCACCACTTCATGCAACATATGGCAATGTCTTCAAGTCTTTTATGCCAAATCTTAAGTGGGGGCCAACTTTAACGGGGGAAGAAGGGAGGTAGTGGTGATGTGGGTAGGCGATGGAGTTTCAGTAACTAGAAAATGAAGAAGATGTGCACAAAGTTAGGTTAACAATTATCTTGGAGGGCAACAGCAAACACATTAGCCTTGTGGTAGAAGGATCCTTCTAAAGCTCCTTTTCTAAAGGAGAAGGCTCCTGCGATGTACAGAGAGAACAGGATGTTGAGTAGACCTCAATCCCTATCTCAGGCCCACCGCCTACAATATTTGTTTTTTGTTAGACAAACAAGCAAATCACTAGAAATATATGAGTTTCAAGGTGAAACGAGTCAGTGCATCATTTTTTGCCCAATCAAGTCAAAGTCAAGTTGTTGAAGTGACGAGTCTGACTTGAATCTGACTCAATCGATTCAAATCTATATCACTAACGTATGGTCTTGGCTTGGACCTGAACTCCATGAAGGAGAGTATCCTAGGACCCAATGTGTTCTTAGTAATCCCACGACTTTCAGATGACCTACTGAAGCTCTTCTTCACAGAGTAGACTGAATATTGGGACAAAGTCTCCATAAAGGCCTTGAGGGCTGGGCCTGGAAGCCTGCAGAGTGAAGTAACCTTTAATCCTTCAGTGCTGTGTCCATTCTCTCAAACTTGCCTTGAGGGACAGCTTAGGGTGGAAGCTGTTTGAAATCCACAAAATGTGGGGATGTAAATATTAGCTGATGTGGATGAATGCCTATTTTTGTCAAATGTTTTGGTGATCGAGGATGTGAGACATGGCAGATAGCCCTAGAAATGGAGACTAAACAGTGTACGCCAGAATAGACACTCTAGCTATTAAAGGAGGTCTAGAGAGCACAGTGACTAGATGATCTAAGTTACTCCCTTTTCAGCTGGGAGATACAAAACCTGCCAACAAAAACATTAGAGCCTGACAAAACTTGGTGAAAGAAAGAAAATGAAAGAAAAGAAAAGAAAGAAAAAAGGAAAGAAAGAAAAAGGCAGAGGCATAAATCTGTATTTGTAAGTTATAAGGCCTTCCAGAAGATGTGACAAATCTTGAAAAAGTATGGAAAAGCATGCGTGGCCCGCAGAAAATTACTCCTCCTTCTTGGACCTGCCAAAGGAAAGGAAGCATGAAAAAAAAAATGCACAAGAGATTTGCCAGTGCCAGACACACCATTTCATTTAATAAGCACACCTCATAAAACGCTGAAAAAAAATTAATGATTGTAATAGACTGTATGCGTATTATAAATGGTGACTCGTTCTGAAAGCAGCAACAGTAAAATACTGCTGGAGGGATTGAAAGGTTATGGCGATTGCGATAAAATGCTCCAAGTCAAAAGACATCAATAAAATAAAATGGTAATAAGAAGTTACTGCTTCACACTCATGAGAGGTTTTCATCTTCAAAACCTAATACTAACAGTGATGGTAGTTTATGTTGCAGTGTAGTTACCAGGTAGAAGGCTCTCCAGGCTTTCCATGTTCCACACATACACTGGGAGCAGAAAGACATAATATTGGTTGATGGAGCTGAGAAAAGATATTTTGCACCTTAAGCCAGAACAGCCAAGTAGAACAACAAATGGGGCCCACTACCCACCCCCAAGCTAAGGTCCATATAATGGGCGATTCAGAAAGAATGGTGACAAATCAAATAAGAATAGCTTTACTTTGGTACCATTCCTTTTAAATCACCCTGTACATAAAGCTAGCAAGGTTATTCTGGTTTATTGTTGTTGTGTGCCTTCAAGTAGTTTCTGACTTATGGAAACCCTAAGGTGACTCTATCACAGTTGTGTTTTTTTTGTTGTTTTTTTTTTGTCAAGGTTTATTCAGAAGGGGGTTGCCATTTCTATCTTCTGGGCTGAGAGTGTGTGACTTGCCCAAGGTCACCCAGTGGGTTTACGTGGCTGAGCTGAGATCTGAACCCTGGCCTCCAGAGTTATAGTCTAATGTTCAAACTTCTACAACATGCTGGCTCTTAGGTTATTGTGGTACCCAAGGCAATTTTTTAATCAAATCCCACAAGCACTTCTAACTTCTGACAGTTAAAAAAAAAGACTCCAATAATAATAAATTAAATAATTAACCATTTAATGACCTTTCATGATAACCAAGGGCCAGAATCTTGTTGGTGATTTATGTTACCATAGCCTCCTGTTGCGCCAGCATATGTGCTTTCACATCGATTACTCAAGCAGATATGCAGTACTGTTGGGAAATGTCAGTGACAGTACTGGACCTCACATATAGAGTAGTGAAAGTGGTAAGGAAGAAGCAGAACAACAAACAGTTCCACATCTACCCAGCCACAATAGGACATGACAGAGAAAAGAAATAAGAAAATAAAAGAAATAAGCTTAATCTTCTTTGTAGAATATAGAAAGCAGTTTTACCTACTTGTGCATAGTCAAATGCATGATTTTATGGAGTAGAGAGAGAAAAAAGAAAAATGGCTACAGGCTAGAGTGAAGCAGGAAAAGAGTGGTAAAGCAAACAATTAGGAAGTCACCACAATTCAACCCCCTAATTAGAAAATTTAGGCAGTAAAGAAAACTGATAGGAAGAAAATCAATTCATTTGAAATGTGGGGCTGGAGAAGAGTTCTATAGATACTGTGGAGTGCTAAAAAGACCAATAAATGGGTCCTAGAGCAAATGAAACCTGAACTCTCTCTAGAAGCCAAAATGGCTAAACTGGGACTGCTGCACTTTGGACATATCATGAGAAGACATGACTCACTAGAAAATATAATAATGCTTGGTAAGGTAGAAGGCAGTA